TGTTGGGCGGCTCCTTGCTGGACAAAATCTCCAGGCGTTCTTGGTGGCTGAATATCTGGTACGTTTGCTTGGATTTCGTTTTCTACTAAGTGCACAGACTGCTTGTCTGCTGTCTCCCAGCATCCCATGTGAGACTGGATCTGGTGGACCTGCTTGTGTGTTTGCTGGTACAGCGGTTCCATGTTGCCGGCCCAGCCGGGTCTGGCTCCGGCTTCCTCCGAACCTGATTCGGCTTCTTGAGTGTGTCCCTTATGTATGCGAGGAGTTGAAATCTGCAGTTTGTTCAGTTGGGCTGCAAAAGCGCAGGTGGTTCCTTTTGTACCACTGGCACAGCTTGGGCAGGGATGTAAATTGAGTAGGGCGGGGTCTCCGGGAATCACCAGGGCGGAGCAAAGGGCAATGGCATCTCCACGACTCCTCGCCTCTCCACAACATCGCGTCTCCATGTCTCTGAGTGCCGGTGAGGAGCTCTGCGAGAAAGCCACCCTCGCTCTCAGACCCACTGCAAGGCCATCCTGCCTCTCCCCGTAGGGGTCTGGGACCTCAGAATCCCGCCCCAAACAAGCTCATTGTATTCTAGAGTTTGTAACCCCTTCCAATTGAAAAAACCCACGCATCCAGTTGAAGCCTGCCTGGCACGCGATTCCGTACCTCTGTTCTTGGTGCCTCAGCACATCCTACTCAGGCTCAATGCCCTTCTTTCTTTCCTTCCAGTTGTAGAGCTTCCACTGGGCCAGCTTTTCCACGGTTCTGAATGATAGCTGTTTGTCTTATAGTTGGTAGTTTCGATGTTGTTGTGGGAGGCAGCACGCACAGGTCTGTACCTTACGCCGCCATCTTGGTTCTCGAGTTATTTTCAATAAAATAAATTTCCAAAGGGCCCAGCGTAATAGGTTTGGTTGTGGGTATTGGGAACAGTGGGATATTGATTCAAATTAGAGGATGAATGAGGGTGAGTAGCCTGCATCAAAACTTAAAAGTTGATCATATAAAAATTTTCTCTTTTAAGCCTTGTTTGATGCACTATCCTTTATTTCCCCATGCCTGGTTAATGGTCACTCTCCCCGTTTGTTGATGCACCAGACCCTGTCTTCTATGACACCCTCCAAGCCTGAGTAGGTCATTATCCTTGTGACTTCACTGTCTACATGGACAAGCCATTCAAAACGCTTGCCTTCCTCGTTATTGAACTCTTTAACAACTAATGTTTATTGAATTATTTCTTTGTTCCCCATACTATATTAGGTAGTGTGTTTAGAGTGATTTTAAAAAATCATGCCTCCCATCTTCAGTAAACTTACTGTAAACCGAGTGACATTAGCAATAAATAGGAATTATATGTACAATTGCATCATTTTAGTGTCAATATTATAGAAAGATCAAAGTACACAAAAGAGAATAATGCTGGAATCTAATTCAGGCAGATCCACGTTAAAAGAAATGCTCTATTGTAGCTGGACATTTGTAAACAAGGATCTGAAGTCCTGCCAAGAAGAGGTGATTGTTCCATCAGGAACAACAACGTGACTTTCAAGCAAGTCACACTGGGTCAAGATTGCACACAATCTTGAGTTCCCAGAACATTTACCTCCCTGAGAAAGGATAAGATTAAATAATTGTGGGTAGAGCAGAAAGGGAGTGCACAGCTGTAAGTTGTCTTCAATGCGCTATTGTGATATAGAACAAAACAAAATTTTGTTGATTAACTGCTGATGCACTAACCTCATGCCAAACCCCAATAAAAGCAATGGTTGAGAGTTCAGAGGTTGCTACATGCCAGAGCGAGCTGTAGCCCTCTGTCCGGCATCAATCACCTGTGTGCTCATCTTATCTCTGAGTCTTTGGTTCATTAAACATCCCGCAACACTCTATGGAAGTAATAATTAATCCAAGACTAGAGAGTAAATAGTATTTTCCAGATGATGAATAGAGAGAATAATTGAAAAACTACCACATAGAAATGGGGTACAATGTTCTTGGCAAACACAATGACTTATGCAGCCATATTCATATTGGAAATTTAAAAATTTAAATTTGAGTCAGACATCAGATAATTCTAGAAATAGCCATGACAGCGAGTGGAGAAAAATGGAGTCAAAGTGAATATCTACATAATTTGCTCTCTCTCTAGCTCCTAATTTGTTCCCAGTTAAATTCCCTCTTTTTTGAATATATTTCTGGGGTAGGAGACTAAGAAGTTGAGTTTGGTGAGTGTTTGGTGCTCAGCTACACCTGGTTTGGATGGACAAATTATCTTAGACAAGTCTTATTCCCATCCCCTTTCTACATGTTATTTTCCTCTGACTTTCTCTTTAAAATGTATTAGGATATGGTACCAGGAGTTAAAGATTATTTTCATTGCACTTTTATTTTCACCTCCTTCTAAGAATAAGGTTCCTAGATGAAAAGCACTTACTTCAGTGGAGTCTTTGATAGGTCTGGACAAGCAGATTTGGAGTAGGAGTTGAAGTTGAGTTTTCCTTTATAATAGAAGTAAATAATTCAGTGTGTGTGTGTGTGTAGGAAGGGATGAAGCATCGAAGAGTGAGTATGGATGGTGTAAAAGTTTGCTGGAGATAGGCCTTAGCAGGATTTTGGTGTGACCCCACCATGTCATTCTCTCAAAGTATAAATAAATTCTACTAAGAAAAAGCCAGAATAGAGTGTTCCAGAAAGAGGAGGTAGCATGTGTGAAGGTCTGATGTAAGAAAAAGCCTAATGCCTGGTCAAAGCCAGTGTGCCAGAGCTCAGTAAGGGAGAGAGGTAGATAAACTGTGATGAAATTTGAGAGCTAGAGAGAGGGCAAATGATGTAGGTCTTCACGTTGACTCCACTTTTCTCCACTGGCTCTCATGGCCATTTTTGGACTTGTCATCACCAAGAATTGCCCCACTTCTGACTTCATTCAAACTTATATTTCCAATCTGAATACGGCTGCATAAGCCAGTGTGTTCCCCTTCTCTACTTAGGTATACAATACCAGCAGAAAAAGAACCTCCCAAACCACACCAAAAAACCAACTGTAAATACCAGACATTAAAATAGGTTTAAAGGCTGCTAAAAGTACTTATGGGCACATAGAGGCTATGTGGGAGAAAGTGAAGAGAGGTGTGGAGAATGGTGAGAAGAGTATGCAATGGCAGATATCAGAAAGCACTAGCAATGATATCCTTACTGAGGATGAGGAACATACCTTGAAGAGCAAAAGCTACGTGCTTGTTTGTTATAAATGGTTCAGGAGCTGAGGTGTGTATCCTAGGCCTATTTTTATTTAGAGAAGCAGAGGGCACGGGATATGCAAATATTCACACACAGGAGCCATATTGGTAGGAAGAAGTCTGTCTCTGTGGCAGCAGTTGGATATGAGAATCAGCTATTCTGGAAGACTGAATCAGCTATTCTCCCTGCCTCACAAGAAACTTGTGGAAATAGCTGGTCCAGGAAAATTCAATGCATGAAATAATGAATAAGACATCAGACTGGCATAACAACCATACAAATACTATATGTGGAAAAAGGCGAAAAGGAATAGTCAAGATTTACTAGAAAAATGCAGCCACAGAATAGATGAATATTGTAGCCAAATGTTTAGCCATGAATTAAAATACTCTTAATGAATAGTAGCCTCTATGAAGAAATACCACAAAACAGAAATGCAATAATTTGAGAAAACTATGGCAAGACAACAGGATCTAGCAGATATTAGTAAGAAAGGGAAATATAAACATAGCAAGATGAATCAAAGTTATTACTGCATGTTAACAGGGAGTTGATCTGATCACCTAAGCTGAGGACGAATGACAGCATAAAAATCTGAGGAGAAACATTGTAAATAAGATGCAGGAGAGACTGGCCCTCTGGAGGGGAAGTAAAGAGAAAGTCTGAAAGTATATAGTTTTTAGTGAAGAAAGCTAATGTTTGGATCCCCTCAAAATTCATATGTTGAAATCCCAATCCCAATTTGAAGCCCTGAGCCCATGAATGGGATTAATCTATTTATATAAAAAACCTGGGTGTAACTTGTCATGTCTGAGTCTCGACCAACCGGAAGGAAGTCAGTCCTGCAGGGGTCGTCTTGGCAACAGCTGGGCCCTTCCCAAGCTGTTTCCCATGAGGGCGAGGTTTGAGGCAGGAACCGGCCCTCCAAGCATGGACGCACTGAGTCCTGTGTTGCCTTGCCAAGGATTACACTCTCCCTGAGCTGTTTCCTGTGAGGCTTGAGGGAAGAACCCACCCTCAGAGAGCCAGGAATGCCCAGCGGCAGTCAGTCCTGGTTTGTTGAGGAGGAGGCCAAGGCATGGTAGAACTCTGGGTCTGGCCCAACAGGGGGCGTGGCCGGCCTTCAAACCAGACCTTGACAGTAGGGAGGTGTGAGTCCCATTCATCACAGAATCCGCTGTTGGATAGCTTGCTGTTAGTGACCTGCCAGCCAGGAACCCCATTCATCTGCACCCCGGACTCTGACAGGAGTGAGGAGGGAGCCCCATTCCTCACGGAATCGACAGGTGGTCTGCCAGCTAGGAATCCTATTCACCTGCATATCTGTATAAAGTTTTAATACATTATATTAGAGGTCATGATGGTACTGTTTTACCCACAGCGTCTACAGGAATTGCTGCAAATTTACTTCTCGGTGAAATAACCTTTCATGCCCATATAAATTACCAATTCCATTAAGTGAAACTTCAATTTCTAGGCTAGATATAAACAATGAAGTTGCTCAATCAAGGCTTAACCACAACAAGACTGTGCACAAAGCCCACAAGGGGGTGCACCAAGAGTGTCTACCTCAGGTAATTGGGACACTTAGCACAGAAAGGCACTCTATCGACACAGCGAAGCATAAAAAATGCCGAGACGAAGAAACAGGACACAAACGACAGAATTGGAGGAAAGCAAACTGTTGGATATAGAGTTCAAAACCACACTTTTAAGGTCTTTAAAGAACTGTTTAGAAGCCGCCGATAAATTGAGTAAGGCCCTCGAAAAGACTGGTGAGACCGCCGATAAATGTAGTGAGATCCTCAAGAAATCTAATGAGACCCTCGATGTTGTGATAAAGGACCAACTAGAAATTAAGCATACACTGACTGAAATAAAGAATATTATACAGACTCCCAACAGCAGACCAGAGGGTCGCAAGGATCAAGTCAAAGATTTGAAATACGAAGAAGCAAAAAACACCCAACCAGAAAAGCAAAATGAAAAAAGAATCCAAAAATACGAAGATAGTGTAAGGAGCCTCTGGGACAACTTCAAGCGTACCAACATCAGAATTATAGGGGTACCAGAAGAAGAGAGAGGGCAAGATATTGAAAACCTATTTGAAGAAATAATGACAGAAAACTTCCCCTACCTGGTGAAAGAAATAGACTTCCAAGTCCAGGAAGCGCAGAGAACCCCAAACAAAAGGAATCCAAAGAGGACCACACCAAGACACATCATAATTAAAATGCCAAGAGCAAAAGACAAAGAGAGAATCCTAAAAGCAGCAAGAGAAAGAAAATCAGTTACCTACAAGGGAGTACCCATACGACTGTCAGCTGATTTCTCAACAGAAACTTTGCAGGCCAGAAGGGAATGGCAAGAAATATTCAAAGTGATGAATACCAAGAACCTACAACCAAGACTACTTTATCCAGCAAAGCTATCATTCAGAATTGAAGGTCAGATAAAGAGCTTCACAGATAAGGAAAAGCTAAAGGAGTTCATCACCACCAAACCAGTATTATATGAAATGCTGAAAGGTATCCTTTAAGAAGAGGAAGAAGAAAAAGGTAAAGATACAAATTATGAACAACAAATACACATCTATCAACAAGTGAATCTAAAAATCAAGTGAATAAATAATCTGATGTACAGAATGAACTAATGATTATAATGAATCAGGGACATAGAAAGGGAATGGACTGACTATTCTTGGGGGGGAAAGGGGAATGGGAGATGCGGGAAGAAACTGGACAAAAATCGTGCACCTATGGATGAGGACAGTGGGTGGGGAGTGAGGGCGGAGGGTGGGGCGGGAACTGGGAGGAGGGGAGTGCATTTATCATTCTTCTAAATTTAACTTTGCACAAGTAACCCATGTAAAAAATCTATATTTTTCAAAACTTGTAAATAAAAATAACCTTAACTAAATAAATAAATAAATAAATAAAGTGTACAGTTCTATGTTGCTTAGAGGTCACAGGGTTAACTATGCTACCACAATCTATCCCACTATTATCTTTAATCTCTCACACTTCTATTATAGAGAAAGGGCAAATAGCAATATTAAAATATTTCCTCTAATTAATTCCCTTTTAATGTGCATGAATTTAGTGCACTGGGCCACTAGTGTCCTTATAAAAGAGATCACCTCCTATCCCCCTCAAGCTCCCTATCCCTTCTACCATGTGAGGACACAATAAAAGGTTGGCTGTCGCAACCTGGAAGAGGGCTTTTTACCAGAACCTGAGTATGCTGACTCCCTGATCTTAAACTTACACCCTTAAGAACTGTGAGAAAATATTTTTTATTGTTTATAGATCATATAGATTTTGGTATTTTGTTATACCAGCCTGAATGGACTGAAGGTCCTATTTCATGGAAAGGTTAAGAAGGTGTAGACTAAAAAATTTGGTCAGGAAAGGATGGGAGAAGTTAGAAAAAGAGGAGGGAAGTTGGATTCTGGCAGTGAGACAAGTGTGGATGTGATGAAGAGATCAGGACCAAGCTTATGTGCTCCACTATGGAGTGTGAGCATCAAGCCCATTTTGTGGGAAGAGTGAGGGGAAATAGAAAATTAACCTGCTATGGAGAATTGTTCTTTTTTTCTTATTCAGTACTGAGTTCCAGACAGAACATGTCAGATTCTTCTGAGGAGGTTCTCTGAATAACAGTGATGTTGTTACATGGAAGAAGCCACTTTTGTCCTTGGCGTGAGTCTCAAACTCAGCTGGAGTTTCTCCTCCCTCAGAGTTGATCCCCTAGACCTTTGGCTGAGGGAACCAGCCCTCTGACTTGCACACCACTTGCATTTGTCTGGACTCAGTGACTTCCCCATGAATGTGAGGATGTGAGCCAAAAACTGCGAGAAAGAAGAGAGAGAATTTAGGTCTTAAACTAATTTCCCTGCACTCATATCCCTCCCCTGCTTCTGAAGAGTTGTTGCTGCTGACTAGCCCTCAGTGTGCAGATGAGGAAACTGAGGCTTTGAAGACATCTTGGCAACAAAGAATTGGACCTAGACTCATGGGCTAGAAAGGGTTCCAACACAATCCAACACAAATGACCCCTGTATATTTCTTTACTTCCACTATGAGTCTCTTCAATATCCTTTATTTAGCCCGAAACAGTGATATATGGATGATGGGGTAAGTAGACTTGTAATGGCCATCTCCATTTCTCCTATGACTTCTTTATATTTCACAGGAAAATTGGATCAGAGGACGGAGTCCATCCCAGAATAAACTCACCTCTGTGGGGTGTCAAGGGGATAAATGTGGCCATTACCTTTCACTTTCAGCTTAATCACTGTATCACTGTAGAAGGAGCCACAGAGCATTACTGCCCACTGTCAGAGGGTCAGACATTAAGGATTCTCAGGACTACAATCCCCTTATGCATAATTTCTTTCACAAGCTTTGTCCTCCTCAAATTAGTCTTCCATGGCTTTCTCAGGCTAGCAACTACCATTCTCATTCAGTTGCACCACCTGAGAGGGTAGGGATCAGGTCCAGCTTCTTCTCCTCCTTCTCCTTTTCCTTCTCCTTCTCCTCCTTCTCCTCCTTCTCCTTCTCCT